CCACTGTTGGCACTATCCTGTGCCCCAGTTCCTAAAACGACTCTAACTTGTGCCACTGTGAGCTCTCTTATCATCTTCATCACCTTTCTCTACATTCTTGGGTCCTATACCTTCGTTTTGCGAGCCGTATTTCGGGTCCCAGCTGGCTCAGGCAGGAACAAAGCTTTCTCTACATGTGCCTCCCATTTCTTGGTGGTTTCTCTATTCTATGGCTCAGTCATGGTGATGTATGTGAGTCCAGGCTCTAGGAGCCATCCTGGGACCCAGAAATTTGTGACCTTGTTTTACTGCATGGCAACCCCATTCTTTAATCCTCTGATCTACAGCCTCCGGAACAAAGATATGAAAGATGTACTAAAGAAAGTCCTGGGCACATCATCAAAAGAAATTCCTAAAAATACAGACAAATGACATACATTTTTATATCATTATTCTCTCAGGAATACAGAATTTCTCTCATTTAAAAAAAAACAAACTTATTTTGGGGCCATGTCTGAGTGCTGGATTCCTTACTCTCATAAAAGTATGACTCATTACACACACACACACAAACTCTTATCCTATCTCAAAAGTAAATACACACAGTCCTAAAGGTCCATTGTAGGAAAGTTCTATAGAGTTTTTATTCACCAATGTATCATTTCCCGGTTTCAGAGAATTTTTTGAAGTCCTAAAGCTGACGTAATCAAGCTGGTATGTACAAAGCTGTAACTCATGTTTCCAGCTTGTATCTTGGTTTTAATCCTAATACTGTTTTATGTGTTTCAAATTTATCGGCTGTTTTGTTCCTTTCCAATTATAGGTTCTTATATAATGAGATACAGCACCTACTCACTATACTCACAAAAATTCAGTTGCTTTGTTTATAAGCTCAAGGACCCAATATCTGCCACTGAAACAGAAGTGTTCTTTCATTTGTGTTTTCCTTAATACCACACACTGGTAAGGTGTCCACAGTGTGCAGCAAATGAAAACAGGAAATGATATAGTTTCTTCTTAAGGAAAATTCTCAGTCCAACTTTGAAGAGGATACAGAGAAAGACAAGCACACATTCACATGTGCCAAATCATTAAGTAGTCCTTACTCAGACCTGGGTTTCTGCACCTTCCAGTACCTTTTAGTAGAGGAATATTTACTATTACAGGAAAAAAAACACGTGAAACCAGAGAACAGGTTCTGCCAACCAAAATATAAACAACTTAAAGGCAGTCAGTTCTTAATTTAAACTTTTTGACTTGACCTGATCATCTGCCTGTATTCGGAAATGTTCATATTTTAATTTTTAATTAAATTAATTTTCACTGAAGCAACACTAGTTTATAATATTATGTAAGTTTCATATGTTCAACATTATATGTCATATTATAAACTATATATCAAAAAATTTCCTTTTCTCGGGGAGGGGTTGGCTTGTGAAGTCTCCTATATACTGAAGAAAAAGCTAATGATTTGACTGACTACATCCAATCCAGACCAGACGTCAATTCAGCTTTTCTGTATAAAAACAGCACCTCAAAGTCCTCTTCCAAGTTATTTTGGCTTCGGGAGATATTTTCTATAATAGAGTATGCTAACTGCTGAAGCTCCCAGAGCACTGTGAAACTAGAGATGAGTTCCAGGCAACCTGCCAATTTGGAAAAGCTAGTTGCTCCTTACTTTCTGCAGATTACCGGGATTTACGATTTAAGGTAAATCTGCTATGATGTAATAACAGTTTCTTACTTACATACACCAGAAGCTGACTCTGGTTGATTAATATGACAATGGGATATCAGGAATGTCACAGACTCAATAGAAACAATCAGAATTGAGGCTGAGATTCAAAGGACAAGGTGCAACCATTCTGATGGAAATGGTCTGATGAAAAGTCACTATCACTGCAGCCGTGCCAACTGCTTTGAGCCACCAGAGGTCACATTTTTAATTACTGCCTTTTCCATGCTAGGAATTTGTCTTTCCTGCAGTTGTGCTACCTGCTTCATTGCTATTGGATGGGGTGTCTTGTTATGTGTCGTGTGTCTATGAGACGGGGTGTGCCTCCACCCCTAGGCCTTGTGATTGATTGATTTGTTGGCTGGTTGTTTGATAGACAACTCGGTTTTCCTGCACTCTGCTTGACTGAGAGCTCAGGTTTCTTGTGTTCTGGATTTTTCCTTTCCCCTTCCTCTCCCTTTGCCCAATACTCATTTCTATCTAAGCTACCTAAGATTCCCCCCTCTAGTCATAGGACCCCAAACCTTATGAGCAAGGACTGCTCTAGCTACTTCCTCATCTGGGGAGATGATGGAGCTCATTGGGGACCCAGACTAGCTGGATGTCCTTGGGCAGTGTGTGAGCAAAAGGATAGTGTTCATCAAGGGGCTTGTATATAAGTGGTCTTGGCTGA